AACTCTTTGTCTTCTACTGACTTTTAAAGGGTTGGATGTTTCGTGGCTCAGTTCTGGGGCTTCCTCTTCATCTACACTCTCCCCTTAGCATCAGTTGATTCACTTTACAGCTTTAGCTGGGGTCTGCATTCCCATGACAGTTCCCTGCTCCAAGAATGAAGGCCTTACTGAAACACAAAAGATCCTGAACGACCTTGTCTATCTGCCTCTGTAGGTTCTACCCTAACTCTTTACTCCAAACATGCTGACCCTCTTTCATCTCCATCACATCACCATGTTCCTTCATGTTCTGGGTCTTTTCCATATTCCTCGCCCACTAAAGGTTATGGTCCACTCCCAGACCTCCCGAGTTTAGCCATCTGGCTTTTACTTATTCTGCAGGATTTAGCCTCCCTAGTACCTTCTCAGAGAAGCACTTCTCAAGCCCTCAGACTGTAGGGTCAATTCTTCTATAATTTCACAGCATAACGTATCTCTCTAGATTATAATTTAGTTAATTATTTCCTTTAGTCCATCCTAAAGGAAATCAGTCCTGAATGTTCATTGGAAGGACTGATGTTGAAGCTGAAACTCCAATACTTTGGCCACCTGATGCAAAGAGCTGACTCATTTGAAAAGACCCTGATGCTGGGAAAGATTGAGGGCAGGAGGAGAAGGGGACGACAGAGGATGAGATGATTGGATGGCATCATCAACTCAATGAACATGAGTTCGAGTAAATTCCATGAGTTGGTGATGGACAGGGAGGCCTGGCGTGCTGCAGTCCATGGGGTCACAAAGAGTTGGACATGACTGAGCGACTGAACTGAACTAATTACTGATACAATCATATAATATTAACTACATCACCAGACATTTTTTCTTGCTCCATTGATTTCTGCCAAATGTTCAGCCTATAGTAGGTAGTCGATATAATTCCTTCATTCACTGAACAATCATTTTAAGAGTCCCTCCCATTTTTATAAGGTAAGGGTTTGCAACATATTGATGTACTTCTCACTGCCATCCTGATATTTAATCAGACATTACATTCATACATTCATTTGTGAACATGGAACTCTTTGACTTCCCAGGAGTTTTCTAGAAAGGGCAATCCACATGGCATTTCTGACCCACTGTTGACCAGTGAGGCAGAAGACCAGGTCATTGCCCTCTGTGATCATTATTAGAAGGGGCTCCTTGCCAACGTCACCAGATGTATGAGAGCAGGGTGTAGACGAGGAGCACTGATTTGGTGATGTGCTGATTCTAGCAGGAATGAGGCCAGTCTCATCAGCTGCTGTATGGTTGAATTCCAGTGTCAAGTTCAAGATATGGCTCAGCACGGTGCTACTTGGTGTCTCGGCCAGCTCTTGAGATGAAGAAGCAGAGATATTAGAGGTGGCAAGGCAAATTTACTTGGTGGCTGAGCGCATTTTATGAAAGGCAAGAGTGGCCATCAGCCCCATAGTCTCTCCACATGCTCCAAAAAGAAGTCAAATAATTGACTGCCACCCCATCTCCACTCTCTGTGGCTGAATGAGCCTACTTTATAAGGAATATATTTGCCTGTATTGTAGGATGGAAGGCTATTTTGTATCCAGGGTCCAAGAAACTGCAGCAAGGACAATAATTAGCTGACAGCCTCCAGCTACAACATTTTGGGGTCTGATGCCATGTTCACGCCTAAGCCACACTCTTCACAGGGTTCTCTTAGCAAACAGATTAACTAACAGATTAATTTTATTTAGTTTTTGTTTTTTTCCAATTTTTTAAATTGAAGTATAGTTGATTCAAAATATTGTGTTAGGTTAGGTATACAGAAAAGTGACTCAGTTCTATACACACACACATTTTTTTTTCAGATTCTTTCATCTTACAGGTTATTATAAAATATTGAGTATAACTCCCTATGCTATACAGTAAGTCCTTATTGCTTATCCATTCTACAAACAATAGTTTCCATATGTCAATCCCAAATACCCACTTCCCCTTTGGTAACCATAAATTTTCTTTCTATGTCTGTGGGTATATTTCTATTGTGTATGTAAGTTCATTTGTATCATTTTTTAGATGTGGTATATTTATACCATGGGATATTACTCAGCCATCAAAAGAAAGAAATAACACCATTTGCAGCAACATGGACAGACCTAGAGATTATCATACTAAATGAAGTAAGCCAAAGGCAAATATCATATGATATTGTTTATAGGTAGAATCTGAAAAAATGAAACAAGTGTACTTCTATACAGAACAGAAATCGACTGGTTCATCTTAAACCAGCCCTTGTCCACACATTCTGGCTTCCCCTCAACAGAGCTTGGTCTCCCCTTAGTTTCACACAGTAATTCTTGTCACCTTCAGGCTCAGGTAATGGTGGAATTTGAAATAGGGTCACTAGTCTAGAGAATGCAATTCCTACTGAACTCAAAATGAGCATCATCAATGCTTGTTCTATATTTTAGGGAAAAGGGAAAGAGAATGAAGAGTGCTTATTCCCAAATCTTCCTCCTGGACATTTGAAGAAAGAGGTCCCTTAAGTTGCTCACCTTGGACTTTCCTTTCTTAATGGCTGATGGTGATCCTGAGTTTATCTTTAAGCTCGCAGATTTATAGTCATTCAAAATCTCCAGAAATTTGTGCTCTCCCTAGTGCTACTTGTGGGATGGCTGAAGTCTTTTCATCCTGCTGGTTCCTAAATTTTGGATTAAAGTAAAAAAGTGCTCATTCAGCTAATGTCAAAGTTTCCCATGAGGTATATGGCATTCACAGGATATTCTCAGGACAGAAACCACATCAAATTTATATCTCTTCTATTATAAATTACATCAGGATCATTTCAGTCACAATTTAAGGAATCAAGTTCATATTAGCCAAGCCAAAAAAAAAAAAAAAAAGAATAAAGGAATTTATTAACTCCAAAAACAAGGAAAATCAGTGGATACATCTGACTTTCATATTATTTCCTATTAATGAAGCAGGAAGCCTCCAACAGCCTTGGTTTATCTAATCCTCACAGGTGGTGATCAAAAAGAAGGAGCTTATTTTGTATTACATCCAGTAAAATAACAGGGAGACCCTGAGCTATAAGCCAGCTTGAGCCATAAGCCCATTTCTGAAGCAATCACTATGTCTAGGTAGTAGAGCTAGCTTACATAGAAAATATTTGCAAAATATACAATGGATCAATGATATAAAATTATTTCATTCAGAATATTTTTTAAAACTCTTATAAATTAATAAAAAACAGACTTAAGAGGAAAATAGACAAAAGTCACAGAAGAGGAAAATGAATAACAAATATACAAAAAATTCTCATTACCAACAGTAAGAGTGGAACACAAGTAAACTAAGACAACGTCATACCCTTTTTATTCTACTTAAATGTAAAAATTCAACGGTAAGTGTTGATGAGATTGTGGGGAAATGGATTCTTATATATTTCTGAAAGTGAAAGTGAAAGTCACTCAGTTGTGTCCAATTCTGCGACACCATGGGCTATAGCCTGCTAGACTCCTATTTCCATGGAATTCTCCAGGCAAGAATACTGGAGTCGGTAGCCATTCCCATCTCCAGGGGATCTTCCCAATCCAGGGACTGAACCCAGGTCTCCCCAATTGCAGGCATTCTTTACTGTCTGAGCCTGAGGTGTGATTACATATACCATTATACATCCATGATTTAGAAATCTACATAGCCAATAGAAGCAATGAGATAGTGCTGTATATTAACCACGTAAAAGTCTCCAAGACATACTGTTCAGTGGGAAAAGGCCATTTGCCTAGGAGAATGTTTTGGAAGAATCTGCTGCAACTGACAGTTCATGACTGCTGACTCAGTGGACTCATGAGACCAAAGAATAAGGGAGACACCAAAACAAGCGAAAAAACTCTTAAAACCATGTGATAAGTGCAATGATAGAGAAATGCACAATAGAACAGAGAAGCCCAGAGGAGGCAAGCCTAAGGCAACTTTGGGAAGATGTGGGAGTTTTAGTCTGGAATAGCTCCCAGGAGACAGTGATCAAGTTTGAGATAGGTGGGAACCAGTTGGAGAGGAGGAGAAAGCACTCCAAGGGGAGGAAACAGTAGGAACAATTCATGGAGGCTCGAAAGCTGTATTCAGTGAACCATCAGTAGGTTGCTACATGTTAAAACAGAGACAGGGATTATAACAGATGGGGCTAAACAGGTAGGTAGGGTCCATCAGGCCTTCTTTTGTCATATTAGAGAGATCTGAAATTTTTTTATGTGATGAAGAGCCACTGAAGACATTTGAGTAGGACAGGTGATCTAAAAAGAGATTAGTGAAAGTGTTAGTCACTCAGTCGTGTCCAACTCCTTGTGACCCCATGGACTGTAGCCCACCAGGCTCCTCTGTCTATGGAATTCTCCAGGCAAGAGTACTGGAGCGGGTAACCATTCCCTTCTCCAGGGTGTCTTCCCGACCCAGAGATCACACCCGGGTCTCCTACACTGCAGGCGGACTCCACCATCTGAGTCACCAGGGGAACCCTATTGGACAGGAAGACATAAGGCAGAGAGAAGAGATGGGAGGTTACCACCATCATTCCAAGAAGATGAATGTCTGAAAGGGAGGCTGGGATAGGCTGAGACTGGTGAGAATCAAAGGAGCGGAGGAAATCAAGGCATATCAAGTTGGTACAATCCGTAGGAATCAAATATGGGATGGATGCAGGTGGGGGAGTGAGAGATGGTGAGGAATCATGCTCACATACATCCAGAGTTCTCAGATAAGTGCAGGAGAGATGATGAGCTGACTCAGAAGATCAGGAAAACTATATTTCAGGGAATACAATGATGGTTACAAAAGGCATCTGGTATTGTCCTTCTGCTACTGTCTTAAAAGGGATTCTAGAGGGATTTTCTTTCCCTTGTTCCTCCAGCCCTACACTTGCATTACTGGCCTAAGGGCATACTCACCAGCTGGCCGTGTCTATCATTACAGCCAAGTCTGAGAATTCCTGATTATACTTAGAGCCAGTGGAGCTGCTGATACGAACAGTCATTAGCAGACGACCCTTTTGGAACAAACTATGCTTTAAAATGTAAACGGTGGAGGCCTTTTCCTTGCGTTGTCCAGAAAGAACTTTCTGCTGCCTGAGCCTGGATTAATCATGAGAGAGTTCGTCAACATTCCACTGGTACATATTCTTACTTTGGTTGCCTTCAGCGGGACTGAGAAACTTCCAAAAGGTTGGTTTCAGCACTCTTGTCTCCTGTTGCTTTGTGACAGTTTGAAAGTGCATGCGTGTGTTCCGATCATGACTAATTCATGACGGCAGGCTTGGGTTTTACTTGGTGAAGTGGGGGTGCAGTATATGGACAGAGAGAAAGCTATATAAATAAGCAATTGATGGATGGTATTCACTCTACTGCTATCCGTCCCCTGCTTAACTTGTAAGCGAAACATTAACAGGTAGACTGCAAGTTATTGAGGTCAGTTTGTTTATGTGTATGTCAAACTTCAGGGTGGTCTAAATGGATGATGAAAACCTTTTTACATCAGGTTTGCCAGGAATGTATCAGTCCCACTCCCAGACATCCAGAGTGTTTGCCTCTGAGCAAAAATCACTTCCATTTTCAGTTTCAGCTTTGCAAAACGCTTAACCAATACTTGAGTTCTTCCCAAATAAAAATTAGAGAAAGATGCACACAAGTTGCCTATAAAAGTTTGAAGAACAATGGGTTCTCCATAGGAGGCTGGAGTCATGATTTGGTTTGGCAAGAGACTGTGAAAGGTTTTTTTTCCCAGAGGCTTTGGAATGTACCGGAAATAACACCACCTCAGGGGAAAGGAAAGCAACTTAAGAAACTGACAAACACCTGTTGCAGTAGCAAGAATGTCCACAGTTTCTGGCCAGCGTATTATGAAACAGAGACTAGTGTATTTCAAATCAGGAAGAAAGACAGGAAAATAGGTGATTTGTGAAGTGACTTCATAAAGGGCTTCATTGAGGCTTCAATGAGGGCTTCATTGAAGTCTTTTTACAAAGACATGAGAAAGCAAATAGAATAACATAAAAAAGTTTTCTAATTAAATGGACTGTTGTTTAGTAGCTCAGTCATGTCCAGCTCTTTTGCGAACCCATGAACTGTAGCCCGTCAGGCTCCTCTGTCCATGGGATTCTCCAGGCAAGAATACTGGAGCGGGTTGCCATTTTCTTCTCCAGGGAATCTTCCCAACCCAGGGACTGAACCCCCATCTCTTGCGTTGGTAGGCAGATTCTTTGCCGTTGAGCCACCAGGGAATTAAACACATTACAGTAGAGTAAAAAGAGTTCTGGGAATTTATGACACATTCAAATGAATTATTTTCCTTTCATATTACTTTACCAAAGAACTGAATGGGTTTGTATTGTGTAGATAAGCGAACGCAGTTATAGTGTATGTTAGATCAAAAACATAGCATAGATTTTGTGGTTCACTAGAATTTCTGGAACCATAAGGTCAAAATTCACATACTAAGAAGATAGAGCTTTCTTTACCAACAGTCTGATTTCATAGATTTATGTTGTTTCATTGCTTTCTTTTTCTATTTTATGTGCACAGAAGGGTATCTTTCAATGCATTTAAATTTTGTCAACTAATACTTTAAGGTACCTCCAGATAAAAGAGAATCTATATCTTTTCAAATAGCTAATAATAGCCAGAAAGACTTGACATTGGCTTTAGATTATTTTAATACTTCCTGATCATACAACGGATGTCCGGAAGGGCAGCACCTGGATGTTTGGACTTATGGATTGTTGTAAAATTATTTGTGCTATTCTAAACCATGAAGTTACATAAAAATGACATGGTTAGATGCTAAAATGTACTGAAATCCAGACTTACAAGGAACATGACAATTGATTTTCTGATTCAAATTAGAATCCCATGAATGAGAAAAACCAAACCCAACCTCTTAATTTCTATCTAGAAAGAGATGATTTGTAGTTTCCAAACTTTATAGGTAAAGCACACTGTTTCTATTTTGAAAACTTCACAAAATAGAGTGGCATAAATTTAACAAAGCCAAAATCCTGACCTCTAAATAAAATAACCAAATTGTTACCCCAACTTTGTTTATTTGTTTATAGTTTATTTACCGCTTTAATTAGATTGTAAACTCAAAAAATTAAAGCAATATTTTTGCCTATCCTACTTAGAGTATTTGAGCATTATTGAAAACTCTAAATTAATATGGGTTTAACATCAGCCTTAGCCAAAACACCTGGTCTGAAAGAGCAAACATTCATTAACTACACTTACCAGTTCTGAGAATAAACACTATTATGAAAACATAATCCTTAACATTTTACATGTTGAAATGCATGGAATATGTTGGTACAAAAACACACTAATATGTGATTATTTTAATACTATTAACAGTAATGAAATTATGCTACACAAATATCTCTAACTGTTTTCTCTATTCTTGGCAGAAGGCAATAGTGGCAAGAGGTTTAAACCTCTTTTGATGGTACACCTATTTCCTAAGTCCTTTATTGTGAATGAATCAAGGCATCTGCATGATAATATATCATAAAGTGAACTGACACAGTTAAAATAGTGCAAGAATATTCCATGGATTATTTTCCAATCATCAGCATATTATTTCTTCAATAAAGTTAATAACCAACTTTGTAGCATAGCTTATTATTATAGTTTTAGTTTAACTGAGATTCCTAATGTTCAAAGACAAAGGGAAAGGTCACTATCTTTCTGAATCATTTCACCTGGTGATACTTTCAATCATGAGCTCAGTATCAAACCACAAGGAGGAGAATTTTATAAAGTCATGTATGAAAATAGCCAACATTTCATTGAACATTTGCCTTAACCACATTCTTCAAAAATATTTAACACTTTATCAGGGAGTACTAAGTGTACAGTGGGATTTTCTGTAGGAGGATGGGAGTTCATGAAACAGCTTTGAATCTGTTCTATGCACAAAGAACTCCTGTCCAAACTCCACTCTTAAAATTATACCATTACTATCATACCTAGAGATTCTGAGTCTTAAGTGATTTATCTTTAGAAATATGTTAGTAACTTCTTCTAAATCATATATATACAGGGATAGGATTCACAGATTCGACATATGACTAAGTCAGAACGGGCGCAGCTGTCACTGAAATCCGGGACACCCAGTACTGGATGAATGTTTTATATTGACGTATACTGAAAGAGTAACTCATTCCATATTTGGGGAAACAACAGTTGCTTTAAATATTATTGACTTTAAAGAACAAAGTGCAGAAATGGCAAGATTTTTACCACAAATCCAGTGGTGAAGTAGGCAACTTCTCGGTGAAATAGGACATGAGGTTATCAGGGGAAAGTGATAAGTGAGGGATGAGTAGAGGACCTGAAGGAAGTGATCCCATTCAGAGAGATGAGAGAAGTGGGCCAGAGAATGTAGAAGGACCACATGTCCATGCTGGGGTTGGGGACTGCACCCCCGTAAGTGGTCCTGATCTTCACCCTTGTATGACTTTATTCAACAATAACTTTGTGAACACAGGAGCAGTAGGACAGCTGGTTGGATTAGTTCAAGACTGGTGCTTTCCAGGGTCAGTACAGCTAAAGGACCGCAGGGTAAGGGAGCTGGGATTGTATGGCAACAAAGCATGCAGTCTAGGCCAAAAAATGAAGGAAGTGAAAGGAGGCTACTTCAGGCCTGGAAAAGAATGCTAAGATCAACTTCCTTTTTCTGGTCCCCAATGCCTTTTTGTGTGTCTTTCAGGAAGGCAGGTTTTCACTGTGAGCCTCAGTTTTCTCCTAAGATGAAGTACCTACCTCCTAAGTTCAGCTTACAATGTTATATGCTATGCTGAAGACTGTCAATGACTGGTGAAATGACCCCTCCTGGGGAACAGGCACATTTTAGATGAGTCCCTATGAAATCACGCCTTAATACCGAAGGGATGCCCCTAGGAGAGGTCATTTCAGAAATTCGAACAGACTGACCCAGAATTCCTACCTTCCTGTCCCCAGTGTCATTTCTGAAGGCAAAGACCAAGAGTATGTTCTGTGACAAAGAATTAATGATATGGCATTAATAAGTGACTAAACACAGCACAGTAACTATTGAGCTTATCAATGAAACTTATATAAGTTCCAGAGACTTCATAATTAAAAAAAATAACATATTTGATTACATCACCAGAAGTATGTGTCAGTTTCTAAAATATGACAAATGATGAGCAATACTGAATACCTCTTTCTTTGGGGAATTTGAAAGATTTCTAATACCCATGTGTTTTCTCATACTGAAAAAGCAATACCATATTCATGATGCTAGAAAAGCATGAATATGTTCCAAGTCTGAGCCTTAATTTTCCTAGAACAGAAAGGAGCAAATACACCTTACTGCTTACTCAGTTATTTGGTTATGTCAATCAGCAAACGGTCGATCCGAAGTTGGTATGGCAATGACCGTGTGTTACAGTCCATAAAAAGATAACTTACAATTGCCTCATCCAGCAGCCAGTATTCAAGTTCAGTTACTCTTTGAAAAGCACTGTGTTCATTTTTATGTATTTGTTGTTCATGTGGTCCTTGGAAAGAGGGGAGAAATAGTGTCCCAGTTTAAATAGGCCCTGGCTGAGATGAAAGCTAGACAGTAGAAAGAAAGCAAATAGAGACAGTCTGCTGATTCTATAAACATCATTAAATACAACTATGTTATTGTGTCAATAAAAATTTAAAAGTGATTTGTTTGGATAATTTTGGACTGTGAGGAAGGTGGGCTTAACCAATAGTCTTTTGCCTATAGAAATTGATACTAATGTCAGTCTTATTTTTTCCCTTGTCTGTGAGTAACTAGTACTACACCGAAGACATGGTATACTTAGAGTTAAAAGATAAGAATTTTAAATCAACCTTACCCATGAAATTCAGTTCTATCACTTCCTGCTCTTATTTTGTTTAGATAAGTTACTGAACCTTGCATAGCCTTCATTCCTCAACTGTAAGTGAGAATAATAATAGTATCTGCTTTTATGTTTATTGTGATCAATAAATAAGATCATGAATGAAAAGTATAACTCGTGGCTGATGGCAGGTTCTTAATCAATTTTAGATGTTAACCTTATTAAAAACAGAATCAAACCTCACAAAAAACCATCATGCCACTGAACACTAAGGGAAGTTGTTCTCAGTGACAACTCATGCATTTCTCCATGTTTAAGCTTGTCAAGACATTCCAA